AAAACGAAAAAACGAAAAAGAAGAAGAAGAAAGAGAAGAGGGAAAGATAGTTTAATCCGCGTTCCTTCTACTTCAACAACACCACTGAAACGGAGAAAGCAAGATCAAGCACAGTACACAATTTCAACAACTGAAAACAAAATATCAAGCAACACATCCCACCAAAATACCGTTCGACCAAAAAACCCTCGAGTAAATAAATAAAAAAAAAAAACTCAATTAAACCCTGATATTCACACAAATGTGCTTAAATCCAGAAGCACTACACACTCCATTCACTAAAGACGAGTATCAAAACCACTTCCCCAACACCCGGATCTCAATCCAAAACCATTTCAGTCAAGTGAAAACAAATATACTCAGCAATCAATCACATTATGCACACATTTCTATGCTTTTTTCACAAAAATCAGAGAAAAAGCTGCAATGAAGAGAAATGCTAACCAGATCGTACTTAGTGGATAGGGTTTTCGAGAACTTGTATATCAGATCTGATGAAATTTTTTATTTTCTCTTTGCTGCGGTGTGTGAGTGTGTTGACAGGACAGTGAGACTGGAAAATTGGAAAGAAAAGGACAAAGAAAGGGATATATCCAGAAGAGAAAACGTTCCAATAGCAGTGAGTATGGGACCAGTATATACGTCGTCGTCTCTGACCAATTTATTATTAATCTAAATATATTCCCACCACAATTTTTATTAATTAGATTATATTTAATTGTACAAAAGATATAATATGTTTAAAAAATATCACATTTATATTTCAAACTTTTTTTTTTACTGTATTCTTATTTTCAAATTAACATAAATTATTTTTTATTATTTTTCTCTTCAAATTTTCTTTAAAATAAGTAAAAATATTCATTTGTCCATTGTATTTTAAGGCATCATTTGGTAGTAATTTTTCACTCTAAAAAATTGACTTTTAGACCGTTATTTCACTATTTTCGCCATATTTTTTACTTCTTCATTCATACGTTGGACTCACTTTTTTTTTTTTCAACGATCAAAACATTAATTTTTATAATCACTACCGAAATGATCCTAAATAAAATAAATGAATAATAACGTAAATATTTGACCCTCGTTTTAAAGCGTATTAAGCATTCTTTTTGAAGAAAATCATGATTGCAAACAAGATTTTCCAATTAATAAAATATTAAAAATGAAAATGCGATGAAGAAAAAGTTAATTATACAAGTGTGATGAATAATTTATGACATTTAGCCCGTGTTTGCCTTTCATCTTTTTAAAAACTTATTTTTAACTACACATTCTCAAATTTTGCTACAACAATAGGGAGGCTGACTGACTAAACCCCACAATAGTTCAGAGAGGCTGTCAGCCTCCCTGTTATTTTAGCAAAACTCTACATTCTCCTATAATATAATGTTACACGCAAATTTAAATTATGTCCTTTTTTTTTACCCCAACGTTATCCAATAAAAATATTATTACAAAATGCATATTGGCAAAAAAATAGATTCAGACAGGGGCTTAATGTAATTAATTTTGGTGTATTTGTTATAGGAAAAAATGTTGTGCAAATATAACTACTCTTATTATTATTGTTAAGAACATTGTTCCATGTACACTATAGTCTATACTTTGCCACGTGTCATTATCGTATTAGACATTTTAAATTTCAAATAGTTTTTTCATCCAATTGACACTTGACAACAATTTAAGTGTCAAAAATCAATGTACAAATAACAAAGTTCTTTTGTTAAAAATTGAAAGATCTTTGGTATAGATTTTCTCCTGTGTTCATGGAGTTATTTGCAGAACATGACACAATGCTATTTGGACGCACGGACATTTTTACCCTTTGAGCTTGGCTTTCTCCCAATTCTGTTTGGCGATGATTGAAATCATCAATAGAGACGTTAAAATC